ACTGGAAAAGGGACCTGGGAGTCTGTTCCCAAACTGGAGAAGGGACCCGAGGCATTGTCCCCAAACTGGGAAAGGGAGCTGGGACTCTCTCCCCAAACTGGAAGTGGGACCTGGGGTCCATCCCCCTCCTGCCCCACCTGATCCCATGGATCAATGTCCCCAGCCCAACGCCCTCGGGAAAGGACCCACAAGTCCGGGAGGGGACATTGGGGTGTGACCCCCCCAAATCTGCTCCTTGAGGACCAGAACCCCCATCCCACGACAGGAAGAGGGGAGGGGACAGCCCAGCGTCCACAGGGAGCACCCTGGTGGCCCCCAAAAATGTGCCAAAGGCCATTGGGGGCTCCAAGATCATCGCTGGGAATCCCCAAAAACAGCCAAAAACCACCCAAAAATTCCCAAAAGATAGAATTCTGGCAGGATGGAGAGGCCTCCCCCTCACCCCCATCTCACCTGACAGAGCCTCTGAGGGGACAAAGAGGAGGAGGAGGACAAGGATGAAGACGCTGCCACCCAACTCCATCCTCGGCCGATCCTGGAGGAGCCGTAGCCACCGCAGCGACTGAGCCGGACCCGGTGGCCACCGGGACTTTGTGGCCTGAATCCGTCCTGGTCATCAACCGCAAGGTTGGGCAGCGCCGGTAAATAATCCCCTGAGTCACCAATTTTTATCAAACCCCTGGGAGCATGGAAAATAAAAAAAAGAAAATTAAAAAAAAAAAAAAAAAAAAAAAAAAAAGGGGGGTGAGAAGAGCCGGGACATTCCCCAAGGAATTCCAACCTGGCCGGACCACTCCGGAGCGGCCACCGCCAGCCCAGCCCTGGCGCCGGGGTTGCTGATAAGATACGGGGGGAGCCGGGGGTGGGCACCGCCTCAGGGCGGGGCCGGCATCCCAAAAGTCCTGGAAGTGCTGGAGCCGGGACCGGGGGGAGGTTGGGTTGGGTTGGGTTGGGTTGGGTTGGGTTGAGTTTCGTTGAGTTGGGTTGAGTTGAGTTGAGTCACCGCGGGGTGACGGCCACGCGTCCCCTCCCAGCTGGGGTTTTGGGGTTTGGGGTGTCCCCAGGGGGGTCCCCGGTGGGATTTGGGGTGCTTTGTTGGGTGGTCTCACCTTCCTGGGGTGTCGCCAGTGCGTCCCAGTTCTTTCCAGTTTGTTCTGGTTGGTACCTGCTCCTTGGGGTGTCTCAGTATGTCCCAGTGTGTCCCAGTGTGTCCCAGTGTGTCCTAGTGTGTCCCAGTGCGTCCTAGTGTGTCCCAGTATGTCCCAGTATGTCCCAGTTTGTTCTGGGTGCCACCTCCTCCCAGTGCCTCCCAGTATGCCCCAGTATGTCCCAGTTTGTTCTGGTTGGTACCTGCTCCTTGGGGTGTCCCAGTATGTCCCAGTTTGTTCTGGGTGCCACCTCCTCCCAGTGCCTCCCAGTATGCCCCAGTATGTCCCAGTTTGTTCTGGTTGGTACCTGCTCCTTGGGGTGTCCCAGTATGTCCCAGTTTGTTCTGGGTGCCACCTCCTCCCAGTGCCTCCCAGTATGCCCCAGTATGTCCCAGTTTGTTCTGGTTGGTACCTGCTCCTTGGGGTGTCCCAGTATGTCCCAGTTTGTTCTGGGTGCCACCTCCTCCCAGTGCCTCCCAGTATGCCCCAGTATGTCCCAGTTTGTTCTGGTTGGTACCTGCTCCTTGGGGTGTCCCAGTATGTCCCAGTTTGTTCTGGGTGCCACCTCCTCCCAGTGCCTCCCAGTATGCCCCAGTATGTCCCAGTTTGTTCTGGTTGGTACCTGCTCCTTGGGGTGTCCCAGTATGTCCCAGTTTGTTCTGGGTGCCACCTCCTCCCAGTGCCTCCCAGTATGCCCCAGTATGTCCCAGTTTGTTCTGGTTGGTACCTGCTCCTTGGGGTGTCCCAGTATGTCCCAGTTTGTTCTGGGTGCCACCTCCTCCCAGTGCCTCCCAGTATGCCCCAGTATGTCCCAGTTTGTTCTGGTTGGTACCTGCTCCTTGGGGTGTCCCAGTATGTCCCAGTTTGTTCTGGGTGCCACCTCCTCCCAGTGCCTCCCAGTATGCCCCAGTATGTCCCAGTTTGTTCTGGTTGGTACCTGCTCCTTGGGGTGTCCCAGTATGTCCCAGTTTGTTCTGGGTGCCACCTCCTCCCAGTGCCTCCCAGTATGCCCCAGTATGTCCCAGTTTGTTCTGGTTGGTACCTGCTCCTTGGGGTGTCCCAGTATGTCCCAGTTTGTTCTGGGTGCCACCTCCTCCCAGTGCCTCCCAGTATGCCCCAGTATGTCCCAGTTTGTTCTGGTTGGTACCTGCTCCTTGGGGTGTCCCAGTATGTCCCAGTTTGTTCTGGGTGCCACCTCCTCCCAGTGCCTCCCAGTATGCCCCAGTATGTCCCAGTTTGTTCTGGTTGGTACCTGCTCCTTGGGGTGTCCCAGTATGTCCCAGTTTGTTCTGGGTGCCACCTCCTCCCAGTGCCTCCCAGTATGCCCCAGTATGTCCCAGTTTGTTCTGGTTGGTACCTGCTCCTTGGGGTGTCCCAGTATGTCCCAGTTTGTTCTGGGTGCCACCTCCTCCCAGTGCCTCCCAGTATGCCCCAGTATGTCCCAGTTTGTTCTGGTTGGTACCTGCTCCTTGGGGTGTCCCAGTATGTCCCAGTTTGTTCTGGGTGCCACCTCCTCCCAGTGCCTCCCAGTATGCCCCAGTATGTCCCAGTTTGTTCTGGTTGGTACCTGCTCCTTGGGGTGTCCCAGTATGTCCCAGTTTGTTCTGGGTGCCACCTCCTCCCAGTGCCTCCCAGTATGCCCCAGTATGTCCCAGTTTGTTCTGGTTGGTACCTGCTCCTTGGGGTGTCCCAGTATGTCCCAGTTTGTTCTGGGTGCCACCTCCTCCCAGTGCCTCCCAGTATGCCCCAGTATGTCCCAGTTTGTTCTGGTTGGTACCTGCTCCTTGGGGTGTCCCAGTATGTCCCAGTTTGTTCTGGGTGCCACCTCCTCCCAGTGCCTCCCAGTATGCCCCAGTATGTCCCAGTTTGTTCTGGTTGGTACCTGCTCCTTGGGGTGTCCCAGTATGTCCCAGTTTGTTCTGGGTGCCACCTCCTCCCAGTGCCTCCCAGTATGCCCCAGTATGTCCCAGTTTGTTCTGGTTGGTACCTGCTCCTTGGGGTGTCCCAGTATGTCCCAGTTTGTTCTGGGTGCCACCTCCTCCCAGTGCCTCCCAGTATGCCCCAGTATGTCCCAGTTTGTTCTGGTTGGTACCTGCTCCTTGGGGTGTCCCAGTATGTCCCAGTTTGTTCTGGGTGCCACCTCCTCCCAGTGCCTCCCAGTATGCCCCAGTATGTCCCAGTTTGTTCTGGTTGGTACCTGCTCCTTGGGGTGTCCCAGTATGTCCCAGTTTGTTCTGGGTGCCACCTCCTCCCAGTGCCTCCCAGTATGCCCCAGTATGTCCCAGTTTGTTCTGGTTGGTACCTGCTCCTTGGGGTGTCCCAGTATGTCCCAGTTTGTTCTGGGTGCCACCTCCTCCCAGTGCCTCCCAGTATGCCCCAGTATGTCCCAGTTTGTTCTGGTTGGTACCTGCTCCTTGGGGTGTCCCAGTATGTCCCAGTTTGTTCTGGGTGCCACCTCCTCCCAGTGCCTCCCAGTATGCCCCAGTATGTCCCAGTTTGTTCTGGTTGGTACCTGCTCCTTGGGGTGTCCCAGTATGTCCCAGTTTGTTCTGGGTGCCACCTCCTCCCAGTGCCTCCCAGTATGCCCCAGTATGTCCCAGTTTGTTCTGGTTGGTACCTGCTCCTTGGGGTGTCCCAGTATGTCCCAGTTTGTTCTGGGTGCCACCTCCTCCCAGTGCCTCCCAGTATGCCCCAGTATGTCCCAGTTTGTTCTGGTTGGTACCTGCTCCTTGGGGTGTCCCAGTATGTCCCAGTTTGTTCTGGTTGGTACCTGCTCCTTGGGGTGTCCCAGTATGTCCCAGTTTGTTCTGGGTGCCACCTGCTCCCAGTGCTCCCATTATCTCCCAGTGCCTCCCAGTATCTCCCAGTATCTCCCAGTACTTCCCAGTTTGTTCTGGGTGCTCCCAGTGCCCCCCAGTGCCTCCCATGGTGCCCCCCCCCCATGCCCAAAAACAAGGGAATTCACACAAATTAAACCAAGAAATCGATTATTTATTATCAATACATTGATTACTTACTATAAATAAATACGGGGGGAGGGGCAGGAAAAGGGGGTGGGGCTCCTGCACCTCCCCCCACTCCCTAAAAAGGTTTTTTGGGGGGGCTTCAACCCCCCCTGGGGACCCTCCGGGCTCTGCCCGAGGGGGGTTGGGGCTTCATCACCTCAAATAAATAAATGTTGAGGGGTTCCATCCCCCAAATCCCCCAAAAATCCCCCAAATTCCCCCCCAAACCCCAACCCCAAGGGTCTCTCCCGGCTCCTGGTGCGTCCTGCGCACCGGAGCAAACTGGGACCCACTGGGAGCTACTGGGAGCCGGTCCCAATTCTCATGTGGGTTTGGGGGGCTCTGTTGGGGGTCTCCTGGTCCAGGTCGAGGTCCCTTCATTTGGGTCGGGGTCTTCTGGTCCACGTTGCAGTCTCCTGGTTGGGGTTGGGGTCTTCTGGTCTGGATTGGGGTCCCCTGGTTAGGGTCGATGTCCCCTCATTGGGGTCGGGGTCTCTGGTCCACGTCGATGTCCCCGCATTGGTGTCGGGGTCCCCTCGTTGGGGTCAATGTCCCCTTGTTGGGGTCAATGTCCCCTTGTTGGGGTCAGGGTCTCCTGGTCGAGGTCCCCTCCTTGTGGTCAATGTCCCCTCATTGTGGTCGATGTCCCCTCATTGGGGTCGGGGTCCCCTCATTGGGGTCAGGGTCTCCTGGTCCAGGTCGAGGTCCCCTCATTGGGGTCGATGTCCCCTCATTGGGGTTGGGGTCCCCTCATTGGGGTCAATGTCCTCTCATTGTGGTCGGGATCCCCTCACTTGGGTCGGGGTCTCCTCGTGGCGCTCCAGGAGGTCCCGCGGGGGGTCACAGGTCAGGGACGACCCTCGGCCTCGGGGTCCTCAGCTGGGGGAGGGGACAGGGTGAGAGGGGGGTCCTGGAAGGGGGTTGGGGTCCCTTTAGGGTCCTGGCAGGGGGTTTGGGGTCTTTCTGGGGTTCTGGAAGGAGATTCAGGTCCCTTTAGGGTCCTGGAAGGGGTTTGGGATCCCTTTAGGGTCCTGGAAGGGGATTTAGGTTCCTTTAGGGTCCTGGCAGGGGATTTATGTTTCTTTAAGGTCCTGGCAGGGGATTTAGGTCCCTTTAGGGAGAGACCCCTCCCATAATGGGGAACCTGAACTGGGAATCCCCCTGAAATGGGGAATCCAAACTGGGAAACTCCCCCCAAATCAGGAACCTGAACTGGGAACCCCCCCAAAATGGGGAATCCAGACTGGGAAACTCCCCCCAAATCAGGAACCCGAACTGGGAGACCCCTCCCAAAAATGGAAAACCCAAACTGGGAGACCTCTCCCAAGGCAGAACCCAAACTGGGAGACCCTCCCCAAATGAGGAACCCAAACTGGGAGCCCCCTCCCAAGGCAGAATCTGAACTGGGAGCCCCCCCGAAATGAGGAACCCAAACTGAGAGACCCTTCCCAAGGCAGAACCCAAACTGGGAGCCCCCCGGTGAGGAGCCCACCCCCGTGCCGGTACCTCCGGTAGCGCCGGTGCCGGCGGCAGAGCAGCACCACGATGAGGATGAGGCAGATGAGGAAGAGCAGGGCCACGGCCACTCCCAGCCCGGTGTCCACCTTGCTGACCCGGCCCGAGCACTGCGGCCCCGTGTACCAGAACAGCTCCTCGTCCAGGCAGCTGGGAAGGGGACAGCGGTCACACCCTCCGTGTCACCCCCCACAGGCACCCGCGGGACCACCGGGGTGGGCAGAGAGCCCTCGGTGGCACCAGGGGACACCACAGCAAGGGTGGGGACCCCCAGTGGGTGTTGGGATCCCCCAATGGGTGTTGGGACCCCGTGGTGGACATTGGGACCCCCCCAGTCAGTGTTGGGACCCTGTGGTGGATATTGGGACCCCCCAATGGGTGTTGAGACCCCATGGTGGACATTGGGACCCCATCATGGACATTGAGTCCTCATGGTGGGTGTTGGGACCCCGTGGTGGACATTGGGACCCCCCCAATGGGTGTTGGGACCCCCCCAATGGGTTTTGGGACCCCATGGTGGGTTCTAGGACCCCTTGGTGGCCATTGAGACACCTTGGTGGCCATTGAGACCCCATGATGGGTTCTAGGACTCCATGGTGGGTTCTAGGACCCCATGGTGGCCGCTGTGACCCCCTGGTGGGTTCTAGGACCCGGTCAGGGGGGTCTCCATGCCAGTCTCACCATCCAGATCCAACACCTCCGTCATGTTGCTGACCACGGGGTTGGGTCTCAGCACCAGGCACAGCACGGCTGCGGTGGGCAGGAGGAGAAGACATCACAGACCACCCTTGGGTGCCCCGGCTGGACCCCAGAGGTCCAGGGGAGGTCCCGCAGGGCTCGGGGAGGATCTGGGGGGGCTTTGGGGTCACTCACAGGTGTTGTGCTGGCACTCGCCCTGGCTGGCCACCGCCACCCGCAGGTTCTCCACCAACCCCTCCGTGGTCTCCTGGAACTTCTCCGTGGTGTTGCCGCTCTGGGCCATGGTGAAGAACACCTGGTGTCCCACCACGATGCTGCCGGACCTTTGGGGAGGGGACACGGCAGGTCACAGGGGGGGCTGGGGACACGCCAACCCACGCCACCCCACCTTTGGGGGTGGTCAGAGACCCCTTACTTGAGGCTGGTGATCTCCACGCCCTCGTAGCCAGGGATGGTCCCATAGATCTTCTTGATCTGAAAGGACAAAGGGTCACTTGGTCACTTCTGAGGGGACACGGTGGCCACGCCTGAGAGGACACGGTGGCCACCTCTGAGAGGACACGGTGGCCATGCCTGAGGGGACACGGTGGCCATGCCTGAGAGGTCACGGTGGCCATCCCTGAGGGGACACGGTGGCCACCTCTGAGGGGACACCTTGGCCATGCCTGAGAGGTCACGGTGGCCATCCCTGAGGGGACACGGTGGCCACCTCTGAGAGGACACGATGGCCACCCCTGAGGGGACACCATGGCCATCCTGAGGGGACACGGTGGCCGTGGTGGGACACTGGGCTGGCCATGTCCTCACCTCCTGCCGGAAGAAGCTCTGGAAGGAGCGGAAGGTCTCAGAGTTGGGGTCCTCCAGGTCCCGGGAGTAGTTGAAGTTGGTGACGGTCACCTCCATGCCCACGGCGGCCATGATGGTGCCAGGGAATGCTGGAGGGGCAATGGGGAGAGGGGTCGGTGGGGTGGGTGGGGACCCCCAGGGTGTCCAAGACCTACAAAGACTCCAGAACCCCCGAGGTGCTGAGGAGCCCCAAGATGACCAGAACCCTCAAGGTGACCAGGACCCCCAAGAACATCAGCACCTCTAAAGACACCAGGACCACCAAGAAGACCAGAACCATCAAGAGGACCAGGACCCCCAAGATCAGGCCCCCCAAGATGACCAGGACCACAAAGATGACCAAGACCCCCAAAAACACCAGAACCCACCAAGAAGACCAGGACCCCCAAGAAGACCAAGACCCCCAAGAAGACCAAGATCCCCAAAAACACCAGACCCCCCAAGAAGACCAGGACCCCCAAGATGACCAGGACCACAGAGATGACCAAGACCCCCAAAAACACCAGACCCACCAAGAAGACCAGGACCCCCAAAGATTCCAGAACCCAAAAGGTGCTGAGGACCCCCAAGAAGACCAGAACCACCAAGAAGACCACAACCCCCAAGAAGACCAGGACCACCAAGAAGACTAGAAACCTCAAAAACACCAGAACCCCCAAGAGGACCAAGACCCCCAAAAAACATCAAAACCCCCAAGATGACCAGGACCCTTGAGAAGCCCAGGACCCCAAGAAGACCAGGACCCCCAGGATGACCAGAATCACCAAGAAGCTCAGGACCACCAAGAAAACCAAGACCCCAAAACCACCAGAATCACCAAGGTGACAAAAACACCCAAGACCAGGACCGCCCCAAGGTGCCCAGGACCACCAAGAAAACCAAGACCCCCAAAACCACCAGGACCACCAAGAGGACCAGGACCCTCAAGATGCCCAGAACTGCCAAGAAGACCAAGACCCCAAAAACACCAGAACCAACCAAGATGACCAGGACCCCCAAGATGACCACGACCCCCAAGATGACCAGAGCCCCCAAGAAGACCAGAACCCCCAAAACCACCAGGACCCTTGAGGAACCCAGGACCCTTGAGAAGCCCCGGACCCCCGCCCAGGTGCCCCAGGTGCGGGGTGGCACCACCACTCACGCAGGTTGGTCTCCACGGTGTCGGTGGAGAACTCGCAGCGTGGACCGGCGTAGGACGGGGTGCAGAGACAGCCGCTGCCACCGGGGGTCCCCCCGTTCTCACACAGCCCTGGGGGGGACACAGGGGACATCAGGGACACGCTGGGTCACGGAGACACCCCAGGTGATGGGGAAGGTCACCTGGGGAGGACTCACCTGAAGGAGGAGCAGTGGTGGTCCAAAGGGGGGTGGTGGTAGGGGTCACCAAGGTGGTCGTGGTGGTCCCTTGAGTGGTGGACGTTGCTGTGGAGGTCATCTGGGAGGTCGTGGAGGTGGCCGAGGGGGTTGTGGTGGTTGGCATCACCTGGGTGGTGGTGGTGGTCACTTTGGTGGTGGTGGGTGTGGTGGGGGTCACCTGGGTGCTGGTGGTGGTCTCTGGTGTGGTCATGGTAGTCCATGAGGTGGTTGGCAAAGTCCCTGAGGTGGTCGTGGTGGTCACTGGGGTGGGTGTGGTGGTCACTGGTGTGGTCTTGGAGGTCCCTGAGGTAGTTGTGGTGGTCTTAGGGGTGGTCGTGGTGGTCCCAGAGGTGGTTGTGGTTGTCTTAGGGGTGGTCGTGGTGGTCCCTGAGATGGTTGTGGTGGTCCCTGAGGTGGTCGTGGTGATACCAGAGGAGGTCATGGTGGCACCTGAGGTGGTTGCGGAAGTCCCTGAGGTGATCGTGGTGGTCTTTGGGGTGGTCGTGGGGGTCCCTGGGGTGTTGGTGGTGGTCTCTGAGATGGCTGGGGAGGTCTTAGGGGTGGTGGTGCCTGAGGTCGTGGTGGCCCCTGATGTGGTCATGGAGGTCTCTGAGGTGGTCCCTGAGGTGGTTGTGGTGGTCTCTGAGCTGGTCGTGGTGGTCCCTGATGTGGTTGGGGTGGTCCCTGGGATGGCAGTGGTGGTCTCTGATGCAGTTGAGGACATCCCTGAGCTGGTCGTGGAGGTCTCTGGAGTGTTTGTGGTGGCACCTGAGGTGGTCGTGGTGGCACCTGAGGTGGTCGTGGAGGACTCAGAGGTGGTCATGGAGGTCCCTGAGGTGGTGGGGATGGTCTTAGGGGTGGTCGTGGTGGTCCCAGAGGTCGTGGAGGTCTCTGAGGTGGTCCCTGAGGTGGTCGTGGTGGTCTCTGGGGTGGTTGTGGAGGTCCCTAAGCCGGTCGTGGTGGCACTTGAGGTGGTTGGGGTGGTCCCGGAGTAGGTTGGGGTGGTCTCGGATGTGGTGGTGGTGGCCCCTGACGTGGTTGTGGAGGTCCATGGGGTGGTTGTGGTGACCTCTGGGGTGCTCATGGAGGTCTCTGAGGTGGTCATGGTGGTCCATGAGGTGGTTGGGATGGTCTCTGATGTGGTTGGAGTGGACAGTGGTGGTCTCTGATGCAGTTGAGGACATCCCTGAGCTGGTCGTGGAGGTCTCTGGAGTGTTTGTGGTGGCACCTGAGGTGGTCGTGGTGGCACCTGAGGTGGTCGTGGAGGACTCAGAGGTGGTCATGGAGGTCCCTGAGGTGGTGGGGATGGTCTTAGGGGTGGTCGTGGTGGTCCCAGAGGTCGTGGAGGTCTCTGAGGTGGTCCCTGAGGTGGTCGTGGTGGTCTCTGGGGTGGTTGTGGAGGTCCCTAAGCCGGTCGTGGTGGCACTTGAGGTGGTTGGGGTGGTCCCGGAGTAGGTTGGGGTGGTCTCGGATGTGGTGGTGGTGGCCCCTGACGTGGTTGTGGAGGTCCATGGGGTGGTTGTGGTGACCTCTGGCGGGGGTCCCTGAGGTGGTCGTGGAGGTTGCTGAAGTGGTTGGTGTCATCTCTGGGGTGGTTGTGGAGGTTCCAGAGGTTGTGGAGGTCACTGAGGGGGTCATGGTGGACTCTGAGGTGGTTGGACTGGCCACTGGGATGCTTGTGGTGGTCCCTGACGTCGTGGTGGTCCCTGAGGTGGTCGTGGAAGTACCTGAGGTGGTCATGGTGGATTCTGAGGTGGTTGGGGTGGTCTTAGGGGCGGTCATGGTGGTTCCTAAGGTCGTGGAGGTCTCTGAGGTGGTTGGAGTGGCCACTGGGATGGTGGTGGTGGTCCCTGAGGTGGTTGTAGTGGACATTGGGGTGGTCGTGGCGGTCCCTGAGGTGGTCGTGGAGGTTGCTGAAGTGGTTGGTGTCATCTCTGGGGTGGTTGTGGAGGTCTCTGAGGTTGTGGAGGTTCCAGAGGTTGTGGAGGTCACTGAGGTGGTGGTGGTGGACTCTGAGGTGGTTGGAGTGGCCACTGGGATGCTCGTGGTGGTCCCTGACGTCGTGGAGGTCTCTGGGGTGGTCGTGGTGGCCCCTGAGGTGGTCGTGGAAGTACCTGAGGTGGTCATGGTGGATTCTGAGGTGGTTGGGGTGGTCTTAGGGGCGGTCATGGTGGTTCCTAAGGTCGTGGAGGTCTCTGAGGTGGTTGGAGTGGACTCTGGGGTGGTCTTGGTGGTCCCTGGAATGGTGGTGGTGGTCCCTGAGGTTGTGATGACCTCTGGGGTGGTCGTGGGTGTCCCTGAGGTGGTCATGGTGGTCCATGAGGTGGTCGTGGACGTTCCTGAGGTTGCGGAGGTCACTGAGGTGGTGGTGGTGGACTCTGAGATGGTTGGAGTGGACTCTGGGGTTGTTATGGTGGTCCATGTGGTGATCGTGGAGGTTGCTGAGGTGGTTGGTGTCATCTCTGGGCTGGTTGTGGAGGTCCCTGATGTGGTGGTGGACGTTCCTGAGGTTGTGGAGGTCACTGAGGTGGTGGTGGTGGACTCTGAGGTGGTCCCTGTGGTGGTTGTGGAGGTCCATGGGATAGTGGTGGTGGTCCCTGAGTAGGTTGGGGTGGCCCCTGAGGTGCTTGTGGAGGTCACTGAGGTGGTTGGGGTGGTCTTAGGGGCGGTCGTGGTGGTCCCTGATGTCGTGGTGGTCACTGAGGTCGTTGGTGTCATCTCTGGGGTGGTTGTGGAGATGACTGATGTTGTCGTAGAAGGTCCTGAGGTGGTCATGGAGGGCCCTGAGGTTGTGGAGGTCCCTGGGATGGTGGTGGTGGTCCCTGAGGAGGGTGGTGTGGTCTCTGATGTGGTCGTGAAGGTCACTGACGTGGTTGGAGTGATCTCTGATGTGCTCGTGGTGGTTCCTGGGATGGTCGTGGTGGTCTCTGAGGTCGTGATGGCCTCTGGGATGGTCGTGAGTGTCCCTGAGGTGGTCGTGGAGGTTCCTGAGGTTGTGGAGGTCACAGAGGTGGTAGTGGACTCTGAGGTGGTCCCTGAGGTGCTTGTGGAGGTCACTGAGGTGGTTGAGGTGGACTCTGGAGTGCTCATGGTGGTCCCTGGGATGGTGGTGGTGGTCCCAGAGGAGGTTGGGGTGGTCTCTGATGTGGTCGTGGAGGTCACTGAGGTGGTTGTGGTGGACTCTGGGGTGGTCGTGGTGGTCCCTGAGGTTGTGGTGGTTCCTGAGGTCGTGGCTGGAGTGGACTCTGGGGTGGTCATGGTGGTCCCTGTGGTGGTCGTGGAAGTTCCTGAGGTGGTCATGGTGGATTCTGAGGGACTTGGGGTGGTCTTAGGGGCGGTCGTGGTGGCCCCTGAGGTCGTGGCGGTCACTGAGGTGGTTGGTGTCCTCTCTGGGGTGGTTGTGGAGATCCCTGATGTGGTCATAGAAGGTCCTGAGGTGGTCGTGGAGGGCCCTGAGGTTGTGAAGGTCCCTGGGATAGTGGTGGTGGTCACTGAGGTCGTGATGGCCTCTGGGGTGGTCGTGGGTGTGTCTGAGGTGGTCATGGTGGTCCCTGAGGTGGTCGTGGAGGGCCCTGAGGTGGTCCCTGAGGAGGTTGGTGTGGTCTCTGCTGTGGTTGTGGTGGTCCCCGAGGTGGTTGGAGTGGACACTGGGGTGGTCGTGGGGGTCCATGAGGTGGTCATGGTGGTCCATGAGGTGGTTGTGGAGGTTGCTGAGGTGGTCGGTGTCATCTCTGGGGTGGTTGTGGAGGTCCCTGATGTGGTCGAAGAAGGTCCTGAGGTGGTCGTGGAGGGCCCTGAGGTTGTGGAGGAATACCTGAGGTGGTTGTGGAGGTCCCTGGGATGGTGGTGGTGGTCCCTGAGGAGGTTGGTGTGGTCTCTGCTGTGGTCGTGGTGGTCCCCGAGGTGGTTGGAGTGGACACTGGGGTGGTTGTGGTGGTCCCCGAGGTGGTTGGAGTGGACTCTGGGGTGGTTGTGGAGGTCCCTGAGGTGGTCATGGTGGTCCATGTGGTGGTCGTGGAGGTTCCTGAGGTCGTAGCTGGAGTGGACTCTGGGGTGGTCGGGGTGGTCCCTGAGGTCGTGGAGGTCGCTGAGGTGGTTGGTGTCATCTCTGGGGTGGTTGTGGAGATCACTGATGTGGTCGTAGAAGGTCCTGAGGTGGTCATGGCGGTCCATGAGGTGGTCGTGGAGGTTCCTGAGGCCGTAGCTGGAGTGGACTCTGGGGGGGTCGGGGTGGTCCCTGAGGTGGTCATGGTGGTCTCTGAGGTCGTGATGGCCTCTGGGTTGGTCGTGGGTGTGCCTGAGGTGGTCATGGTGGTCCATGAGGTGGTCGTGGAGGTTCCTGAGGTTGTGGAGGTCACTGAGGTGGTGGTGGTGGATTCTGAGGTGGCCCCTGAGGTGCTTGTGGAGGTCCCTGAGGTGGTTGGGGTGGACTCTGGGGTGGTTGTGGTGCTCCCTGAGGTCGTGGTGGTCCCTGGGGTGGTTGTGGAGATCCCTGATGTGGTCGTAGAAGGTCCTGAGGTGGTCATGGAGGGCCCTGCGGTTGTGGAGGGCCCTGGGATGGGGGGGGTGGTCCCTGAGGAGGTTGGGGTGGTCTCTGATGTGGTCATGATGGTCACTGAGGTGGTTGTGGAGATCTCTGAGGTGGTTGGGATGGTCCCTGGGGTGATCGTGGTGGTCTCTGTGATGGTAGCGGAGGTCCCTGAGATGGTCAAGGTGGTCCCTGGCATGGTGGTGGTGGTCCCAGAGGAGGTTGGGGTGGTCTCTGAGGTGGTGGTGGAGGTGCTAGATGGGGTCGTGGTGGACTCTGAGGTGGTTGGAGTGGCCTCTGGGGTGGTCGTGGAGGTCCCTGGGAAGGTGGTGGTGGTCCCTGAGGAAGTTGGGCTGGTCTCTGATGTGGTCGTGATGGTCACTGAGGTGGTCGTGGAGGTGCCCGAGGTGGTTGAGGTCCCTGAGGTGGTCGTGGTGGCCTCTGAGGTGGCCCCTGAGGTGGTCGTGGTGGTATCTGGGACGGTCGTGGGTGTCCCTGAGGTCGTGGTGGCCTCTGGAGTGCTTGTGGGAGTCCCTGAGGTGGTCATGGAGGTCCCTGAGGTTGTGGTGGTCTCCAGGACAGTTGTGGTGAACCCTGAGGAGGTCGTGGTGGCCTCTGGGGTGCTTGTGGGAGTCCCTGAGGTGGTCATGGAGGTCCCTGAGGGGGTTGTGGCGGTCTCCAGGACAGTTGTGGTGAACCCTGAGGAGGTCGTGGTGGCCTCTGGGGTGCTTGTGGGAGTCCCTGAGGTGGTCATGGAGGTCCCTGAGGGGGTTGTGGCGGTCTCCAGGACAGTTGTGGTGAACCCTGAGGAGGTCGTGGTGGCCTCTGGGGTGGTCGTGGTTGTCTCTGGAAGGGTCGGGGAGGGTTCTGGGGTGGGCGTGGCAGGCCCTGAGGTGGTGGAGAAGGTTCCTGGGGTCGTGGTGGTCGCTGAGGAGGTTGGGGTGGTCTTTGATGTGGTCGTGGTGGTCCCTGATGTGGTCGTGGAGGTGACAGACGTGGTCTCTGAGGTTGTCGAGGTCCCTGAGATGGTCGAGGTGGTCCCTGGCATGGTGGTGGTGGTCCCAGAGGAGGTTGAGGTGGTTTCTGAGGTGGTGGTGGAGGTGCTAGATGTGGTCGTGGTGGTCCCTGAGGTGGTCGTAATGGTCTCTGGGGTGCTTGTGGTGGTCCCTGAGGTCATGGTGGACACTGAGGTGGTCGTGGTGGTCCCTGGGATGGTGGTGGTGGTCCCTGAGGAGGTTGGGGTGGTCCCTGAGGAGGTCGTGGAGGTGCCCAAGGTGGTTGAGGTCCCTGAGGTGGTTGTGGTGGTCTCTGGGACGGTCGTGGGTGTCCCTGAGGTCGTGGTGGTCCCTGAGGTCATGGTGGACACTGAGGTGGTCGTGGTGGTCCCTCGGATGGTGGTGGTGGTCCCTGAGGAGGTCGTGGAGGTGCCCAAGGTGGTCGAGGTCCCTGAGGTGGTGGTGGTGGTCTCTGCGATGGTGGTGGGGGTCTCTGGAGTGGTTGTGGTGGACCCTGAGGTCGTGGTGGACCCTGAGGAGGTTGTGGTGGCCTCTGGGGTGGTCGTGGTTGTCTCTGGAAGGGTCGTGGAGGTCTCTGGGGTGGGCGTGGTAGTCCCTGAGGTGGTGGGGAAGGTTCCTGGGGTCGTGGTGGTCGCTGAGGAGGTTGGGGTGGTCTCTGATGTGGTCGTGATGGTGACAGACGTAGTCTCTGAGGTTGTCGAGGTCCCTGGGGTGGTCGTGGTGGTCTCTGGGATGGTCGTGGAGGTCCCTGAGATGGTCGAGGTGGTCCCTGGCATGGTGGTGGGGGTCTCTGGAGTGGTTGTGGTGGACACTGAGGTCGTGGAGGTCCCTGAGATGGTCGATGTGGTCCCTGGCATGGTGGTGGTGGTCGCTGAGAAGGTTGGGGTGGTCTCTGAGGTGGTCGTGGAGGTGCTAAAGGTGGTCGTGGTGGTCCCTGATGTGGTTGTGGAGGTCTCTGAAGTTGTGGTGGACACTGAGGTGGTTGTGGTGGCCTCTGGCGTGGTCGTGGTAGTCCCTGAGGTGGTGGAGAAGGTTCCTGGGGTCATGGTTGTCCTTGAGGAGGTTGGGGTGCCCTCTGAGGAGGTCGTGGAGGTCTCTGGGGTGGGCGTGGAGGTCTCTGGGATGAATGTGGTGGTCCCTGAGGAGGCTGGGGTGGCCCCTGAGGTGGTTGTGGAGGTCCCTGAGGTCGTGGTGATCTCTAGGATGGTTGTGGTGGACCCTGAGGAGGTCGTGGTGGCCTCTGGGGTGCTCGTGGGGGTCCCTGAGGTGGTTGTGGAGGTCCCAGTGGTGGGTGGAGTGGCCCCTGGGGTGGTCGTGGAGGTCTCTGGGGTGGTCGTGGTAGTCCCTGAGGTGGTGGAGAAGGTTCCTGGGGTCATGGTGGTCACTGAGGAGGTTGGGGTGGTCCCTGAGGTGGTCGTGGAGGTCTCTGTGTTGGTCGTGGTGGCTCCAGAGGTGGTTGGTGTCATCTCTGGGGCGGTTGTGCGGGTCACCTCAGTGCCGGTGGTCCCCGAGCTGGTCGTGGAGGACCCTGAGGTGCTCGTGGTGGTCCCTGAGGAGGTCGGGGTGGTCTCTGTTGTGCTCGGGGTGGTCCTTATGGTGCTCGGGGTGGTCCATGAGGAGGTCAGGGTGGTCCCTGGGGTGGTTGTGGAGCTCCCTGTGGTGCTCAGGGTGGTCTCTGTGATGGTCGGGGTGGTCCCTGTGGTGCTCGGGGTGGTCCCTGTGATGGTCGGGGTGGTCTCTGAGGTGCTCAGGGTGGTCCCTGGGGTCTCCACGGTCTCTGCTGAGGTCACTTCTGCTCGGGTTGTCCCCACCACGGCGGCTGCAGGGGAGGGTCCAGGGTGAGCAGAGACCCTCAAGGCCCCCCCAGGGAGGAGACCCTGACCTTCCTCCTCCTCCTCCTCCTCCTTCTGGCCCTTGACCCATCCAACGTTCCCCCCTCTCCTCCACCCGCCTTCATCTTCACCCTCCTCTTCCTCCTCCTTCTCCAAGGCCTTCATCCAAGGTTTCTTCTTGTCCCCTTCCAACCTCCTCCATCAGCCCCACCTTCCTCCTCTTCCTCCTCCTCCTCCCAGACCATTCCCACATGGATCCTCCCCAACCCCCTGCCATCTTCATCTTCACCTTCCTCTTCTTCCTCTTCTTCCTCCTCCTCTTCCTCCTCCCAGACCATCCCAAACCTCCATGGGGACCCTCCCCAACCTCCTGCCATCTTCTCCACCTTCCTCCTCCTCCTCCTCCTCTTCCAAGGCCTTCATCTCTTGTTGATGTCCTTCATCCTCCCCCTGCTCCTCTTCACCTTCCTCCTCATCTTCTCCACTGTCCTTCATCCTCCTCTTCTTCCCAGACCTTCATCCCAGCCTCAGCACTGACCAATCCAACCTCACCTGGTTGTCTCCACCTTCATCTTCCTCTTCCTCCTCCTCCTCCTCCCCCCCTTCATCCTCCTCCAGCCTCTCCCCATCGTCTCCACCTTTCACCGCTTCCTCTTCCTCCTCATCGTGCTCCTCTTCCTCCTCCAACCCCTTCAGACCACGGACCCCCCCCAACCTCTCCAACCCCGATTCCTCCCGCTCTTCGTCATCATCCTCCTCTTCTTCATCCTCCTCTTCCTCCTCCAACCCCTTCAGACCATGGACTCCTCCGTCCCCAACTCCTCCTCTTCCTCTTCTTCATCCCCTTCATCTTCCTCCTCCTCCAAGACCTTTGGATCTGAACCCCTCAAACCTCCCCCACCCCAATTCCTCCTCTTCCTCACCCTCTTCATCCTCCTCCTCCTCTTCTTCACCCTCCTCTTCTTCATCTCCCTTTTCTTCATCCTCCTCCTCCTCCTCCAGGACCTTCAGATCTAAACTCCTCAAACCTCTCCAACCCCAATTCCTCCTCGTCTTCTTCATCTTCTTCATCCTCCTCTTCTTCATCTCCCTTTTCTTTGTCCTCCTCTTCTTCATCTCCCTTTTCTTCATCTTCCTCTTCTTCACCTCCCTCTTCTTCACCCTCCTCCTCCTCACCCTCATCCCCCTGTCCCCTCCAGCCTGTCCCCACCATCCTCCTCCTCTTCTTCATCCTCCTACTCCTCTTCTTCATCCTCTTATTCATCTCCCTTTTCTTCATTCTCCTCTTCTTCATCTCCCTCTTCACCCTCATCTTCTTCATCTCCCTTTTCTTCATCCTCCTCTTCTTCACCCTCATCCTCCTCACCATCATCCCCCTGTGCCCTCCAACCTCTCCTCAACATCCTCCTCCTCTTCCTCTTCTTCATCCTCCTACTCCTCTTCTCCAACCTCTTCTTCTTCATCCTCCTCTTGTTCACCCTCCTCTTCTTCATCTCCCTTTTCTTCATCCTCCTCTTCTTCACCCTCCTCTTCTTCATCTCCCTCTTCTTCACCCTCCTCCTCACCCTCCTGTCCCCTCCAGCCTGTCCCCACCATCCTCCTCCTCCTCCCCTGATGTCCCCCTGTCCCCTCCTCATCCTCACCTGTGATGGCACAGGTGAAGACCACCATGACCCTCCCCGATGTCCCCTCCCTCTGTCCCCTCCCGATGTCCCCTCCCGACGTCCCCCTGTCCCCTCACCTGTGATGGCGCAGGTGAAGGCCACCCAGAGACCACCACCATGTCCCCTCCCGATGTCCCCCGTCCCCTCACCTGTGATGGCACAGGTGAAGACCACCAGAACCCTCCCTGATGTCCCCTCCCGATGTCCCCTCCCGACGTCCCCCTGTCCCCTCACCTATGATGGCACAGGTGAAGACCACCACCATGTCCCCTCCCGATGTCCCCTCCCGATGTCCCCCTGTCCCCTCACCTGTGATGGCGCAGGTGAGGACCACCAGGACCCTCCCCGATGTCCCCCCCGCCATGGCCACGTCCTGTCCCCAACTGGGGCCGGAGCCAGCGGTGACAGGGACAATATCGGGGGGGAGGGGGGGGGACAGTGGGTGGCCCCGGACCTTTGTCCCCACGGGTGGCGCAGGTGGGCGGGGGGGGTGACAGGCGGTGACACACGCAGGTGACACACGCAGGTGACACACACGCCGGAGAATGTGGCGGCCGCGCCCCGCGCTCGGAGCTTCCTCCATCCAGCGGTGTCACCGCGCGGGGACACGGCGGGGGGGACACGGGGGTGGCACCGAGATCGGGGGGGACACCGGGGTGGGGACAGGAGGGGACACTGGGATTGGTGGGTTGGGGGACATGGAGGTGACGCCAAGACCAGTGGGGACACGGGGATGGGGACATTGAGGTGGCACTGAGATCCATGGGGACACAGGGACGGGGACATTGAGGTGTCCCAAGATCGAGGGGGACACCGGGGTGGGGACAGGAGGGGACACCCGGATTGGTGGGTTGGGGGACATGGAGGTGACACCAAGACCAGTGGGGACACAGGGATGGGGACACTGGGGTGGCACTGAGATCAGCGGGGACACGGGGGTGGGGACACTGGGGTGACCTGGTGGCCCCTGGGGACATTGAGGGGTCCAAGGGGTCCCTGGGGACACAAGGGGGGATGTTGAGGTGGCCTGGTGGCACCAGGGACACGGGGATGGGGACAGGGAGGTGTCACAGGAGTCACTGGGGACATTGAGGGGTCCTGGTGGCCTCTGGGGACATCGGGGGGTCCCAGGGGTCACCGGGCTCACAAGGGGGACACGCAGGGGTCGGTGCCACCTCAGCGGGTCGCTGATGACCCAAACTGGGCGGACTGGGAACGGCTGGGGGCTCAACTGGGGAGGGGTCGCGGGCCTGGGGGTCCCTCTGAGCTCTCCCAGTGCCTCCCAGTCCATCCCAGTCCATCCCAGTCCATCCCAGTCCCTCCCAGTCCATCCCAGTACATCCCAGTGTCTCCCCAGTCTCTCCCAGTATCTTCTGGTGGCCACCAGGTTCTCCCAGTCCATCCCAGTCCATCCCAGTTCATCCCAGTCCATCCCAGTCCATCCCAGTTCATCCCAGTCCATCCCAGTCCATCCCAGTCCCTCCCAGTCCATCCCAGTCTCTCCCAGTGCATCCCAGTCCCTCCCAGTGTCTCCCAGTGTCTCCCCGGGGGTTTCCCCATGACGTCACCGCGGGCCCCGTAGGGGGGGAGGGGCGGGTGACCCTTGGCCGGCGGCCACGGAGGGGGAGGGGCCTCACCTGGGGACACACCTGGGGACACACCTGGGGACACACCTGGGGACACGTCAGCGGCGGGAACCGCGACGAGGACCCCACCCACGAGGTCACCCCCAAACCCCTCCTCTGCTGACCCCCCAAATTCTCTCTCTCTCTCCGCAGCCTCCGCCGCCATGGGGGGTCACCCGTCCCCGCCGCCCCCCGCCCCGCTCCAGCTCTTCCTCCTCCCCCTCCTCCTCCTCCTCCTCGCCGCCCCCTCCCCGGCCACCCCCGAGGAGCTGCTGGTGGCCACCTCCGCCGGCGCCGTCCGCGGCTTCCACGTCCCCGCCGGCCCCTCCTCGCGCGTGGCCGCCTTTTTGGGGATCCCCTACGCCGAGCCCCCCGTGGGACCCCTGCGCTTCGCCCCTCCCCGCCCTGCCCGGCCTTGGGGAGGGGTCCTGGACGCCCTCTCCCACCCCCACGCCTGCTTCCAGCCGGTGGACACCATGTTCCCCGGCTTCGGCGGCTCCGAGATGTGGAACCCCAACCGCGAGATGAGCGAGGATTGTTTGTACCTCAACATTTGGGCGCCGGAGCCGCGGCCCGAAACGCCGGCGCCGGTGCTGGTGTGGATTTACGGCGGCGGCTTCTACAGCGGCGCCGCCTCGCTGGACGTCTACGACGGGCGATTCCTGGCGGCGGCCGAGGGGGTTTTGGTGGTCTCCATGAACTACCGGGTGGGCGCTTTGGGGTTTTTGGCGTTGCCGGGTCACCCCGAAGCTCCTGGCAACGTGGGGTTGCTGGACCAGCGGTTGGCATTGCGTTGGGTGCAGGCCAACATCGCGGCGTTCGGCGGCGACCCCGGCGCGGTGACGCTGTTCGGCGAGAGCGCCGGCGCGGCCTCGGTGGGGCTGCACCTGCTGTCGGGGGGCAGCCGCGCCCTGTTCCGCCGCGC